TAACAGTAGATTCGCTCCTACGGACGATATTAACACCTACTGGTACTCAGAATTGCTTTGGAATTACTTGAAAGAAGACGTAGTTGCTGATGTCAAAAGTTTGGACGTCAGCAGTCCTAAATCACGACTGAAAGTTTGAATCGTCGCCAGCAGAAAAAAGCGAAATATGTATCACTACATTGAAAAGACGTAAGAAAGAACGTTTCTCATAAAGCACACACCCTGAACAACTACAAGCATGAAATCAGCAGAGAACATTTTGTAACCACCGTAATGACAGTCTTTTTTACACTTACATGATGGGGCCATTTCTGGTACTCTTCTTTCCAAGAAGTTAATGGTGGCAGCGCCGATCTATATTTTCATGCCATAGGCCGATAGTCTTTTTTTTATCTTTATAAGGCCAAGTCGATAGCAGCGGTGGCATGTATAAGGTTTGGTCTCTTTTTACACAGAGTGCCTCAGGAGGAATAAGGGCGAGTGACCCTGATCAGAGCTCGTACACGGGAACTCGGTCCGGAGCCCAACGCTCTACCGACTGAGCAATTTCGGCCTGAAGTATCGAGTAGAACTCTCACTGCTCAAAGCAATTCGTGGCTAAGACAAACACTGCGCTCCGCCGGAAGAAGACCCAGCACCTTCGGAGTCCGAAGCCGACACCAGGCCAGACAAGAATGACTAGACTTCACAGCGCTGAAACTGGAAAATTCAGCGACGCAAAAGGGCTGGAAGACGCTCTATGGCTAGATGGACACCCATCGCAAAGTGGGAAATAGAAACATACCACCAGTCGTTTATATGACAAGTCGTTACAAGACTCAAACTAAATAGCGTAAATTAGTCATTACGGTATATTTACTCCAGACTTTCAGCATTTACTTTAACGTCCTTGCTGCACCACCCTCTTTAGATTTATTCTAATGTGACTTAAATACTTTTATGAGATTTGCTTCCAGATGTCTGAAGCAAAATTGTGATAGCTAAGGCAGCAATAACTCAGCGTTTAAACGATTCGTTCAGAGGTGATGAAGAATCAGCCATTCACTAGGTGTGTACGGAAGCACACATTGAGATTACAAGTTTATCATGAGCTGTCATTTATCATAACAGCTAGTTCAGAGCAATTCTAAACTCTTATTTGAGGCTGAACTGCCGCGAGAAACTCACGGTTCCTGCCTAAATTCGAAAAACAATACCATAGTACCAACGTATATCATTAAAACGTTATAAACAGTATCGTCTACCTACCATTTTGCGCAGAGCCGTTAGCAGGTTTCAGCTGAGTGCAAAATTCGCTGTTCGTTTCAGCGACCCTGGTAGCTTCATTGGAATATCGCGGTTGTTTTATTAAGCCGTTAATAATGCGACAACATTTGTAGCATTTTTTCACGCTGCAACGAGCAGTAAAGTTGAGTATCGCTTTATTTCAATAAATGAAATAATTACAGGAAAAAGTGATCATAGCCAAATTCTTAAATAAAATCAAACGATACGAAACCGACTGTTTCAGAAAAGATACAAAGCCATGAGGCAAAGGGACACGTTAAAAATGAAATTCGGAATGTAGTTCAAAGTCAAAGAGGTGCCTACTGTCGCGAGATGTAGAAGAGTCTGAAGAAGTAAAAGGCTTCTGCCATCCTCTGCTGTGTTCTTCGCGGTCCTCAGTCGTTGACTCAGAATTATCTAAGATCGACAATGCCGATACGCAAGAAACCAAGAATAAGATTACCTCGCGATGTTGAAGACAACGGTCGGTGCCAAAGCGAATGAGGTGGCGACGGTACCGGAGTTTTAACCGTCATTATGTGATCGAAAAAGTCAGTAACTTGTCTCAAACTCAGCTGGTTATGCAGCGTTTCCAATGAGCGCAAAGGAGGTACGGCAAAGGTCATATCTAAAAAACAAGAAATTTCACCAAAACATTTAAATAACAACCAAAACACGACCAATTAAGGGGACATTAGTCCATTATACAAGAAAAAGAAGAAGAGTTCATTATACAGTTTTCACCTAATCAACTAAGTTCAGTCTAATCAGTTTCAAAGCCTTAACAGAAATTCATGATGACAAAGTTTAATACGACAACCATCGATGTAACGCTTACTTAAGACGCGGCGACTGTTCTGATACTAACTCCCAAGTTTAAAAAGAATGAACAACTTACAGCTGAAATTCAACTGGCAAAAGATTCTAATTTTCATGCAACATCCAAAAAATGGAAAGGTAATGACAAAACTGATTAACCAGAGTTCATAGAAGGCAAATGTAGGATAAGTTAAAATGTCAGAAACATTAATGTGAACAGTTCCGCCTCTTTACAATGGTATTATCATGGTTCCATCGCTTTCAAGCACTCACAGAATTGTTTAAACATGTTACAGCTCCATATGTTTATCACCTGCAAAGTACATACGTACCTCCCTTAATTTTATATTCTAGAGCAATACTTTGCCTGCAGTCAGTAGCTTTAGTTGACATTTACTTCTTAACGCGTTTTCGCAAAAAATGAGTTCATCCGCCATGAATATGTTAATAGGCATTTATCTCTATTAAGACAGGTTTAACGCAAACCGTCACCATCTCCTGAGCCTGCTTGCCCGGCTATTAAGTATTTCATCGTTCCATTGTATTTTAGTACCTAACACTTTAAGAGCACGGGAATGGTGACGACATTGTGCACGTAAGTACAATCACTCGCTTTATTAATTCTCCGGGTAGTTAGAACCGAACCGAAATTTGCACGCTGGGTTTAGGGCATACAGGACGAACCCTGAAGCATATAATCGGATAATAGGCAAACTACTGTTCTAGCAAATTAAATTAAGCAAAACGAACAGGAGAACAGCTGGTAGTCAAATCTATGGATCGCTGAGTTGCTAGAATGATTCTACAGGCATTGAGGAGAAAAGGAATTTACAAAACCAAGCGTCTACTGGCAGTACCATCCGTTTTAGCCCAACAGCCAGATCACTACATGGTTAACATTAGTTACATCTTTAGGTAGTGCTATTTCCTTAAGGGTTTTAGAGCATGCGCCGAACCCTGGATCACAGACTCGACAAAAAGCCTTCAACTGACATACGAAGTACTATGTTCGTCATGATGAGGAAGAAGCTTCGGCTTTCCACACTCGAACCAAATTTTTAAAAATGATACGCTCTGTCATGAAACGTAGCAGAAGAGGGCAACAAGAGGTGTTGATAAAAGTATAAACATCAGTATGCCTTCAAGTACTGCTACATGCGGAAACATCTATATTACCTATTTTACTCCCTTTATTACGCACATCTTCATTATCACACGGTTGCTTCGCTACATACCCTAAGTTCGTAAAAGGAAATAACTATAAACGAAACTTATCACCAATCAGTGAAGTTATCCAACAACGTCAAATAGTTTTTTTCCTCAATGAATTCAGTTATTAACTTCAAACGGGGCATAGGACACAGCATTTTGATTGTGCTGGTCTTTGGCCAATCTTAACACAACGACAGCAACGGGTTATAGACTGCAGAAAAGTGATAACACGTTTTGAGATGTTTTAATACGGGAAACTAGCTAACCGAGAAGTTCTCATATTAAAGGGAATAATGGATAGTCGCTCTGTACCTTAAAGGTTAGGGTTAAAACCGCATCTTGACACAAAATTTTTTAATTAACTTTAACTCTTAACTTTAACTTTAATTAAATTAACTCCTAATTCGTTTGGTAAAAAATTTAACACATTCTACGTTAGGGCAACCAGCTGACAAATGGATAGCAAGTCATTTACAAGACTGCAAAGTATTTTGGTGAGGTCACAGCCTGCAAGACTTAAGGCCACTCCGCTTGATTCTTGTGCTTTTCGCATAAATACACCTCATAGCATATTAAAAATCACCATAGATCTAATCCGTAAATTGAAAAAAGTAGCCCTCAGCGTTGCAGCATAAAATGATAAACGACTTGATGTTAACCGTTTCTTTTCCTACACCAGTAGCTTGACATAGCAGATAAAATCATGCGAGAGACATCCAAAACTACAAGCGTTCAAATATAATAGAGTTGTAGCCGGCTTAGATGCCCCCAGGAGCTAGGAGGAGGTATAATACGCCGTAAAATTCGGTCTAGGAAAAGTCATGGGTTTAATGTTACTAATCTTAAGATCAAAAATTGCAAACAGAATCACTTAACCATCACTTAACCTTGTAACACTGAGGCCAGCCATGATTACTTCTCTATACAGTAGCTGGCTTCTAATCTTAAAATACATAAAAGAATAACTTGCAATCTGTTGTTTTTACCTCTTGTTATATGCTACTGTAACGGTGATTAATCATGGAAGGCAACCATAAGTCTAATCGAAAACGTTGTCTCTCACGTTATCTTTAGTTACATTACTTAAAACAATGGATGAACATTGAGTCAAGGACAAAAATATTTTCGAATCTATCACCAAACGGTATTTCAGCTTTTCTTCGAAGAATTTGCAGTTCAAACCAACACAACAATACGGTATTCCATTCATGCACTGCGGGCTGATAATACCACGGAACTGTAATCTAGATCAAAAGTTTGCTAGGCCTTTAAAGGCCAGAGCACGGTGAGATCTGGAAAAGCAAAACTCAAATCCAGATAAGAAAAACGCACAGGTTATTCTAACTGGGGTATCGAACATAACTTGTCACGAAACATGGAAATAACAGCAGTTTTACCTATCACTGATCAAAACTTAAAAAAGATAGATAAAAATGACTTGAAAGAAGGACAGTTCGAAAAAGAGTATTTAACAAACGCCATACGCACCGCTCAGGTCCGGTGAATTTTCGTTAAAGTTCGCGGGAACTCGTAAATCTGGTGCACTGGCGCCTCTCGATACAACGGCTGTAAATATCAATGCCGGATCTGCTAAGCAAAATCAAGTAACTGAACGAGCGTGAACGTCTATAAAACCTGTACCTATATCGCTCTGGTCAGGAGCGACCGAGAAGGAACCGCTGATCACCGCCGTACTGATCAGTTTACCGTCCTGGTCTGAAAGCGAAGATGATTAAACGGTGTAAACGGAACTAAAGACAAGGAAAATAATCAACTTACGCTTCAGAAACTTCGTAGTATGATGACGCAACTGGCGATATTTACGCGCTGAAGTAAAACCTACGTCAGTAAATATGGAGACATATTTACAGCAGCAAAGCACGGTACGTTTAAGATGCACAACACACATATTAATGGTGACACTTATGTTAGAAAAAGCTTCACACTCATTGCTTTTATGGTAGTTGTGCACGATCCATGATTATTATTGTACGTTGTCCATTTGGTAATAATGCCAATTTCGCACGGAGTAGGCGCAAGTTTAAAGAGACCGTCAGTTATATTTGTTACTTTTACCGACTCGTTTAAAAAGAATGTGTATTCGATGAGCAGAAGCGCACAAGAAAATCTTACAGCCCAGTACATGCCAGCTGCACTTGCAGCGCTCCGGTACAGCTAACAGGAACGGGAATACGTCGTTCGATACACTATAAACAACCGAGGTATCACGATGTTACAGTTG